ATAAATATATCAATTCATGTGAATATGACTAAAAATTTTCATTTTTTCTGAAAGGGTGGTGTCTATTTACTTGTGACCACGCTGTGTACATCAATGCCACGTCCTCTATAAACCCAAAGATTAATAGAGATTGTTAGCTTTAATCAGGTAAAGAGAATGCCCGAGTACTAACTACGTACAATACAAACAGAAGTTTATATTCAAAACCATTCTTCTTTAGATATTTTAATAACATGAAAAAAAAAACAAAAACAAAAAACTACGCAATCAAAATCAACTTGAATGGTTCAACTGCGAACTACTAGCACTAACCGTGTAGTCATGGGGAGAAAACAAGTTTACACCTGTAACAACGTACGTTGTTAAAACACGTTTGTTAATTTAAAATCTGAATTTTATAAGTATATTGCAAGTTTAGAATGATCAATAGTGGCTAATATTTTTTATATATATACTTTGTCGAAATACTGATCAGTCTGGTAATATCGCTTACACGTGAACTTTACGGGTGGACATATAATCAAGTACCGTTAGCAGTTTTCCTTCTATAAAGGCGGAATGCTTAACACCCGAGGTAGTAGTGTTGAATGTTAGTTGTAACTGCTGAAGGTGATCGGGAACGGAAGTTGAATGTATATCTAAATATCTCGGTACCGTGGCAACGCATGCCGGTAATTCAAGCTGTGTGTGTGTGTAGTGGGGGGGGGGGATACTTGTCTTATGCCAATACCCGCATATGCTGGCGTTATGATGATCTACTTCTTGAGAACTGTGCCACGCCCTTCCGCCGGCTCTACAGCGACCTACAGTGGAAGAAAGTTGTGAATGGAGACTCTTGGAAAAGATGAATGGGCGCCTACATTTAGTCAGTCACACATATATATACCGTGGTGCCGCTGTCGCGTGTCAACCACCGCTCTCTCTTTCTCTCCCATCATACTTATAATCATCACGAGTTGTTGTTCTTTCATAACATTAACTAATATAATCACTTGTAAAATAATGAAAGTTAGTACTTAGGCATCTACTGTTCATATTTGAATACCAAGTGTATCTAATAGAATATATAGGCATGTTTTCGCAACCTATCCATGCTACTTGATTACTCTTCCAGAGACAGGTGTTCTCTTTTGTACATCTATAACATCAATCTCATTACGAAACAAAATATGAGCATTGTTTTATATTTCCTTACTAAATATTAAATCAGACAGACATTATATAGTCTACGCAAGAGATTCATATGTTTTAGTTCTGTGTGAGCAATTATTTATTGGAAAGAGTGCCAGAATTCGTGGTGAGAAAAGAAGCTCTCGTCAATGGAATACGAGATCACACGAGAAGTAATTGTACTTGGTGCAAACCGAACAAAATCAGCCTAAAAAGTACTGTTGTCACAGCAACTCTATAGATCGATATCTTATTCAAGTAAACAGGATGAACTTCGAGTCCCGGGCTTTGGTATTATTCACTGCAGTCAACCCACGCAAGCAGCCCGTTCCTCCACCGCCTAGCTTTCGTTGTAACGATAATGACTCTGATATAATAACCTTATAAACCAGAGTCTTGCCGCCACGTGTTATGTGACAGATGAGTATGAGATCATTAACCTCCATTAAAACAAAAAAAGTGAGAAAAGAGACTTTCAAACGAACGAAGCTCATGCACATTGTATATTTAAATTTTACGTAACTATATCACTCAGAAACAGCACGTGTTAATCCATTCCAAAAACTCAATAATTTCTGTTAAAACGACGTCACAATTCGAGAGATCATGGGAGGTTTCACTATGATTATCTGGTTCCAATTCCTGGTGCACATGTTAAAAGTCGTTTATCCCTGACTCAAAGTTATCAAGCTCTAATTCTAGAGGTACTGGTTAAAGGCCGCTTCTCCAAAGACACAAGTATCAAGATCCAGTGTTAATTATAGCAATGTATAGGATATGTAAGGAAAAAACATGCATGTAAATCACTTTTATGTACATAAATGCACATCATTTTTTAGTGTCCATCAAACAGAACTCTTAATATATCAACAACTGTCAACCAGTATAACTGTACTTACTGACTGGTCTACTATCCTTTTGCCGTAAATAAAATACTCATGTTTTGGATTATCTTCGGAAGGAATGATCCGCTTCCGCACGGAGACGTTGCTGAGGCCACCTCCTCCCATCGGCACCCACCCTCCGGATGAATCGTCCCGGGTCATAACCTGGGCGCGCACCCGCACCAGGTAGTTTCCACTAAAGGAGAGAAAGGGGGAAATAGCAACATATAAAAAGATGATTAAATGCTAAAAACATTTGCTGCTATATAAAAATACATTATATATAATACAATAGATGTAGCTTATTTGTCCTATACAGCCAAATCTACACAGACGATGTTCTTGAATGTTCAGATAAGTACTGATATTGTGTGACAAAATACGAAAATAAAAAACAAAAACATTGTATCAGGAAAGGAGGGTTCGGTGGTCATTGCTTCGACCAAACGACCTTCTCCGGTTTTGAACCTCCCAAAACAACAACAACACAAAAATAAAATAAAAACCAAACAAGAAACAACCGTTTAACCATTGTTCAACTTTCGTTATATATATATATATATATATATATGAAGCAATGATTGGTAGTCCTTCCCCCACACTGTTTGGAGTTACCATGCAGACACAGATTATAAAAACATGAAAGACCTTCATACATCTTCCTTCAGCTGCATACAGGCACATCTAATAAGAACTATACTGCAAGGCCAACATAGCAACGAGTAACTATGAGGTTCATACTTTCCTATGAATGTTTTTTTACAAACTACTCATGATACATTTCTTAAAATATCAGGTTCATTAAGATTCAGTTTGTACTTGTTCATAAGCAATCTATTTACGTGTACACGCATATAAATTTTCAGCATTTTCGGTTCATTTCCCCCCCCCCCTTTATTATCTCTTAAAAACTTTCCACATAAATCCAAACATTCGCCCTCTGTGCCAAGAATATCTTTCCGCTCAAGATGGGATGGGGCCTTAAGTATACTGGTTTTCCACTAATGAGTACACGTCAGCGTAATATTTTGAGAAGGTTTGTGCTGGATTTATTTCACATTGCACTCGAAAATGGATATCGGTGAGTCTTATAATGATGGGCTTGAGATTTTACAAGTACTTGTTTGAACGATACTCAAGTATGAAAAACTGTTCTGAATGATCCTACTTTTAGAAAGATGACGCAAAAACTGACTGCAGTCTAAGCTTCACAATATCCTCAACTAGCCAGATATGAGTGAGTAAAAGTTTGAACTCTGCACACATCAATGTAAGTACATATAGACATTTCCTGCCAGCAGTACTGTTACTCTTACTGTATTGTTGTACCTTCTGTTAAAACGCCAAAACCACTATAAATATTTAGCTCCATGTCTAACTGAAACGTTTTGGTATATTTAAACAATTTTAACATTCAGCATAACTTTTCCTTAAAATGCAAGGATTTTTACCACAAACAACTGTTTATTAAGATAATAAGGCATACAGAATAAACTTGCACAAGTGGGAATATTACAAGGGACATTTTAGTGTTGCTGCAGTAAAAGTGTTATCTGGCATCAGTTTAAAAAACTCCCAGTCTCTTGATTGAACAAACAATACAGTAAAAGTTAGCTAAACAAGAATAGAAATATCACCAAATAACTTCTTCATCAAAGTGACAACTTGTTTCTCACCAAGTGTTATAATCAAACCACAAGGAAGGGTCAGTTCCAACAATTTGTTTAAAATAGCTTAATAATACATACATAGTGCATACAATGCAAACTAATTATTCTCACTCACATATGCATTTATTATGGCATTACAGTTTCAAATTTAGTATCAGTAAATTCATGATGCTATTATAAATACAAAAGCCAATATCCTTTTAAACACTAAAACTTAACTCCGTGAAATAATGACTCCTACAAAATTATAGCCGAAAAAACAAAAATATCTAAATATGGAGAAATCTAGATGAAGATATAACTATAAGGCAATTGTCTGAAAATTACTGTACAGATAAAGAACAAAAATAAGACCATAAAATGAGAAGATCTAAAGGAAAAAAAAGAAAAACCACAACTTAGACTGATAACATTTAATACTGAAATGTTTTGAGGTATGCATACACCATTATAAACGATCTGTTATATATCAAAGATGGTACCAATTTATGCATAATTGTGATATGTTGTTTTCAATAGATACATCATATTAACAAATCAAAATTAAAGAAAGAAAAGAAAACACAAGTAACATAATAAATACTTCAAACAAAAACAAACAGTAGTGATAGTTAATATGAACTCAGGTTATTATTGTTTTGGGTGTTCACTGGATATTAACAGACTTTTTTAAATGCAATTCCTAGTTAAATGAGCCTGATGTCAAAATTCTGAAGTTATTTATACATAGGTCATGTATGTACTCTTACATCTGTTGTTGTACAGGAGACAGATTTATTAGTTTTCAACCAGTTCTTTATGATATTTCCATATGTTCACAGGCACGTATTTTTAATTGGTGTTTGGTCTTGCCAATGTAGGTGGCCTTGCAGTAACTAATAGTATATTTAAAAACTAGCCTGTATACAAAGTTTGTGTGATTAATAATGTCTGGATATCTTACTTTGCTATGTTTTTGCATGTTAACTCATTTTTATTCAGAATGGCACAGCAGAAGAGTACTGGCAGAACATTATTAACAGAGAAATACATCTGGATATCCCACCACACACACACAAAAAACATCTTTGTTAGTCATTTGTACAAACATTCTGGGTTTTACTTCTAAGCTTATGGTTTTGTTAAATAATGAACTTTTTCATTAAGCAGAATGAGAATTGGATATGTACTTAAAATTAGTGGAATAGAAATATATTTTTTTTATGAATCAATGTTAAGAAACCAGACTAACAGATGCATTTTTAATTATGTTAGTATTCACCTAGGTATTGACACTTGTTACTGCTTAGATTAAACTATAAGAATGCTAAGTGTAACATTACATTAGTTGCTAGTCAAAAGTAAGCTTCATTATCACCACTCTTAGAAAGTTACAAAAAATGTTAAGTACTTCACATGTTGTACATCAATCTTGATGGTACAGAAATGATGAAAAGCATCACATCAAAAAGTTTAAATATATTACAAAAAACAACAACAAACTCTTAAACAATTTAAACAACACAATCTCTGAGTAATAAGAGACATATCTATAATCGTGGTTTAACTTATAACTAGATGCACTTTGTCTCTTTGAAGATGTCAGTTTGTGCTAACATTTTTGATCAATGGAAATTTCTTATATTGTTCCATTACACATCCACCTCTTGTTTTGCTTTATATTCTTCCAACTTATTTTTAATGATCCATCATTTTAATGATTTTAGTGATCCAACTACATTTCCTGGAAGACTTTCTTAATATGTTTCTCAGCCTGATCCATAATACACTGGGCCGCTTTGAATGAGTCACCACAACTTTCTTTTTTTTTCTCTCCCCGACATTTCGTTTGCAAACAGAGATTTATTTTTGGCTTCAAAATGTTCCCATTTGTCTTTTCTTGTCTGTAGTTGATCTTGCTGTCTTTTTCTTGCTTGTTTTGCTTGCTCAGAAACCTGACTTTGTCCCAGCAGTTCTTTTTTATATAAAGAACTCACATCCTGAACAATCATTAACATACATTTTTTTCAGCTAAAGATTCTCCTTCAGTGATAGTCAATGTGAAGATGAGTTTTCTCCTGTGCCTATCAGTGCAAAGAAATGAGTCTTTAGTAATGTCTTTCATCCAATAACAGTTTCTATTCATCTATGATGAGTTCTACATTCTGCTCTGATACTAAGGTGTTTATATTTCTGTGCTAGATGTCTTACAACTTTCACACATGCTTCCTTTTTCTGAAGAAATAGATGCAGTCATGCTAAGTCATTCAGCATCTCACTGTTTAGAACTATATGTGAGAGCAAGTACTTTGTAATTGTTATGAAGAACTTTTCACATCTAACACAGGTGTTCTTTGTTTGTTTTTTTCAAAATCTTTAGAGATTGTAGCAAGACCTTCATATTGTGTTCTGTATATGTCTAGATTAATTTTAAATGCATTATGTATGGCACGATGAATGTTGCAGAGGATGAAAGGGAGACCTTCACAGCTATCTTCCGTCAGGTCATCACTGATCTCCTTCCAGTTAGTTTTGCTGATGCTTTGGCCATAAATTCATATACTTATAAAAAAGCTTCGGAGGAATGGATGTTTATTACTTTAGGAAAGGCATGATTTGTTATGATATCTGCTTTCATTTGGCCTGATCAAAATGGAAAACCACAAGGTATCTCCTGGTAATCTGGTTTTGTGTTTTTGATCAAAAATTAATAAGCACAACCAACTGCCTTACATCTTCATCAGTGATGATTTCATCACAAAATATGATGTATCCTGAATTACTTTTCTTTAGGTCAACCACAAATTTCTTTAGCAGGTGGGGTTCTAGGCCATCTGAAATAATATACGACTTCTTTGTTGACCCCCTTCCAAAATTGATTGTTATGTGGCACTTGAAAATCCTAGAGAAAATCTGACAAATACTGTCACATGAAGCAATTAAAAATCCTTGCTTACAACAATCATTTCCCACATTGTTTCTGGTTTTCTGACTTCTGTTACTAGATTTGCTTGGAAAAGAAAAATTTGGATAAAGTCATAGGTCTGGGATGTAGAGGTCAGGGGATCAGCTTCTGTCAACAGTCTTTGCTATCATTTATGCTGCTACCCCAGATGGTTGAGACTTGCCAATATGCATCTTGGCTTTTTCTAAATGTGTGCATCATTGACTGTACTGTTTTAACTAAAAGAACCCAGGGTTTTCAGTTGAAATATTTATTTGTAGCAAAGTACGTATAAGACCTTCAAGCTATTCCATGTTTGACACCACAGACAAATTTGATATTCATAACTATTCTCCTTGTCCAACCAAGGGCCTTGAAATATACTTTTTTCATAACGTAGTATGTCAGTTCAGTATTGATAAAACTTTAACTACTAAAAATGTACAGGATTGGTGAAACATGTATCTGTATTTAACGTACACTTGCAATGATACTAAACAAGTCCCAATTGAAAAATACAACAAAAACTTCATTCTTTAAGAAAGGCTAGCTAGTTTAATTTCAGATCCACTTTGAAATGAATAGATATATTCTTACTCTAAG